GTCCCTCTTGTGTGGCGTCCTTGTTTCAATGCAACATCAACTGATACGCTCATACTAAAGTCAAAGTTTGAAAACTTACAACTCCACCCAAAACACAATATATTTAAAGATCTATGCAAGGGAATTTTATAAAGAATTTGAGAACATTAGTAGTCAAGGAAAGAGTTGAGGGGTAGGGGGAGCTTAAACTCAACTGGAAAATACGCATTTGAATGCATCTTTGATCTAGTATTTCCGATTGCTGAGGACTTTACATATATTACTCAATACTAAACATCAGCCGCAAAAACCTGATAAAGTTTGAATCAATGGCTTATCAATTTTGTTAAAATTTGTTCTCGAATACGAAGTACAAATTAATTTTCTTCTCTTTTTGCTTAATTACCTTAACTGCCTCAACTAGATCTTTGTTAATATCTTTATTTTCCCATTCAGGGAGGTATCGCGATAAGTTTTCAAGTATATCCGCCATTTGTTTGTTTTTATAAACATAAAATTTTCTGTGACGTCAATTCCGTGTGTATGTTCCTTTATAGATCATAGCTCTCGACCAATGAAATTGCTCAATATTACAATGGATCAACTTAAACAGGCCGCTAAAAAAGAATTAGACGGACCTTGTCAATTGCTTAGATATCGAGCCATGCAAAAGTTAAAAAGGAGCACAAACTGAATGTACCTAGAGAGCAGGTGCACGCAGTAATGGTTTATCTTGTCCCTGATGGCTTGGAACAGTGGGGATTTGACCTCAAGAAAAACAAGAGAAGAAAAGAAAATTTCACTACAAATGTCCAAATTGTTTCCACTCTTTATATATCCACGACAAGTTAATGGGATATAAAAATTCTACATATCATTCGGCTGTTTATGGCTGCATTGACTCTGCAACCTCTAAACTTTTACTACTGCGTATTCGGTTATTTGGGTGAGCAACAGTGATCCGAAAATTATTGGCCAATAATAGTTAGATTATTTGTATGCGAACATATTCATGCCATAGATTATGCAATTAGATAAGGGCATAAGTTAGGGTAAGTTATGGTGCAATTTGAAGCAAACATTGGAAAAAACTATTGTAAGAGGTATGCATAACAAGAAATGAAAACAGCTGCTAACAATCACGATGAGTAAGAATATTTGTTGTAGCCTAATTTGCAACAAGATATTTGGAGAAAAGATTATGATGAAGAATTTACTTTAAATATATATACATTGTAAAAGAGTCATACACATTTTGCACCAAATTTTCTTTTACAGTGACAGACTTTATGGTTTCAGGAATGTGTGGTTCATCCAAAATAACTTTTAAATAAATTTTCAACCGAACAAAATTAAGAAAAGAAGAAACATTCTCAAATAACTCTCCATGCATTTAAAGTAGCCCACTAAGTCTAACAGACTGCAAACCTTATTACTTGAGTATTGAGCAGTTTAATTATATTAATGGCAATATTGGCAAGGTTACCTGCACAGAAAAAGAATTGTTTACTATCACTTGAGTTGTTTGTTGCTCTTTCTCGGTCATACAAGTTACAAGCACTACCCTGAATGTCAACAATCATTGACTTCTTTACAGATTTCTTAAACGAGAAATGCGAGAGACATTCAGATTTTTGGCCAATAGGATCATCTTCATCAACACATGACAAACCAGTATTGCTGATGTATTTCATCAATGAGCCAACAACAAATTCTTCAACAGTGACGTTTCACCATCATCTGTGTTCCCCTAAGAAATATTTCTGTTTTTCTGTAAAATATAAGACCGTCTGAAAAAGCAACCAAAAGTCAGAACTGAAACAATCGGATCCAAAAAACCGGATCGTGTGAACGTGCCTTAAACTTTAGAGTGTTTTCATTGGTCGTCATGTTGGGGGGAAATCCTTTACAGTGAAACAATACATACTAATTTCATACTCTGTTGAACAATGAGCACGAGGATTTTGATGTAAAAACCCAACATGGCCGCCTTGAATTCACATCGAAGCATTTTGTAGCTGAGTTTGCATTAGCCTTAGCAAACCAATCAGATTACAATCACGAGCACAATCAATTAAATCAATCAAAAAAAAATTTCAAATCAATCTTGAATAAATGCTGAAGGAAAAATTGAACCTTTATTTTAATTTCATCTTTTTTTGCATTATTTTTGTTTTATAAAAGAAAAAAAGGATTTTATTTGTATCTGCAATGTAAACCTCGGAGACGTTTGTGAGAACAGAAAACTTCCAAGTAGGTGCAAACCTTTGACTTGCACTACTTGTTTAGCATAGTCCTGTGCCGACACAGTAAAAATCGTTTCTCTTCTTAAAATCATATTACCAATAAATAAGCTTGTATCAATACTTGTGATCTAACGATATGAACTGAATAGTGATTTTTCTAGAAAACCTTAAAGTTATGACTCAAACCAAAGAAGTGCTGAAATGAAAAGTTTGATTAATGTATACCAAAACTTGTTTTTTGAGATGAAAATTTACCACTATCCGGTGAACCATCGTTAGCGGGCTTGAAATCGACCATATCCGCCATATTATTTAATTCCTTTGCTCATAAATAAAATTTAAAATTTCACTAATCTTAATGTAGTCTACGTAGATCACACTCGTTGAATTTCGAAAAGCTTTACATCTGTCATAAAGCTTTACAATTGTCACTTTTTTTGAATTACTGAGAAGATATTCAGAAAAAGTTGTTATTTTCATATAATTATAATTTTTTAAAGTTCGATCTTTTGTTAACTATTGGATTTTCTATCAAATCAGTCCTGATGAAGAAACTAGACTGGATTATATAAGAACTCAAGTTTCAACATCAGATCACTCCTGATGAATACACCATACTGGAGTATATAGGGAAAAAATTTCAACATTAGATCACTCCTGATGAAGACACTAGACTAGAGTATATAAGAACTCAAGTTTGAACATCACATCACTCCTGATGAAGACACTAGACTAGAGTATATAAGAACTCAAGATTCAACATCAGATCACTCCTGATGAAGAAACAATACTCAAGTATATAGGGAATAAAGTTTTAACATTAGATCACTCCTTATGAAGAAACTAGACTGGAGTATATAAGAACTCACGTTTCAACATCAGATCACTCCTGATGAAGACAGTAGACTGGAGTGTATAAGGACTAAAATTTCAACATCAGATCACTCCAGATGAAGACATTCGCACATTTACCAATTATAGCATCACATCACTCGCAAAACAGAAAGTAAGTTGTCGTATATAATATTTGCATACAAAAGGAATCTCTTGATCAAATCTATTTTTTCTACCTGAGATAAAAAATTCCCCACATTTAGGTACGAAACCACATCTGTGTTCCACTGTTTGCCTTGAGTAAGATTTAATGATAAGGTACAAAGAGTTGGAAATAGATCATCATGTAAAATTCAGAAATTTCAAATTTGAACGGGGTTCTGTACTAATGCTAATTCATAAAAATTTATACAATATTCGAAGACTTCCAACGACATATTTTGAAAAATTAAGGACAAGGAAGACCTTGAATTTCACGCACAGCACATATTAAGTAAGAAATCATTAAGAAACCACAATCAAAATTAAAAAAAACCCAGAACAGTTTTCAACGAATCGAGAGCAAATGATGTGTTTTCATATGACTTGAAAGCTACGATTTTCATAGGTTCCTTCAAAGCTCTGACATTAACTCTTTACTCTTTAATTAACTTTTTTTGCAAATGAGTGTTACGTTACAATTTAAAATCCACTTTTAAAAAGAAATTGCAATTGACATGTTTACAAAAATTCGATCAAAAAACATTTATTTCAAGCACTTTAAAAAGCCTTCAATTTTTTCAATATATAAAATTTAAGGATATTAAAAGACATTCAAGTCATATATGAACCCTGTTTAAAGAGTAATTTACCCAGTATTTTCTTATAACAATTGGGTGAGGTACAGGCAGCATACCAAAAAAGTACCATTTTGAAGAAATTTCATTATTTTCTATTCCTCTTTTAGCCCTCTAAATCTTAATTCAATCTGCTAGCCCTTTAAAAGCATGGAAAAATTGCTCGTTTCCTCAACGGACTTCGTAGAGAAATGAATAAATAACAATTATAAACTTAAATGTAACAGATGTCAAACTGATCTAACATATTTAGACCTGTTTCAAAAGTCGCCTTCTACATGAGCCGAATTCATTTAAAACAAAAGAGAGCGAAGAAGGAAGAAGAGCTCGACGCAATAACAAAATAAAAAGAATTAAGGCTATCAAACAAGAACGTAGAAACATTCACGGATCTCTACATTATCGAAGATGATGTACTTCCATTAATACCTACTGTAATCAGAAAAACACTGATAAGATTGGGAATGATAAAACATAGTGCAAAGAAAAATTGGCGAGGAAAGTTGATACAAATGTAGTAGACAATACTAAAAATATATATATATATATATAAACAGAAAATATGGAAAACCGCAAGGAGACGTCAGAAATATTATGCATCATCATAAGAAAATGGTTAAAGGAATACGAGCATTAGTAAATGCTAACACAAAACAATCAATATTAACTCACATTGAAATGAGCCCTGACGCTTAACCAGTAATAACACTCCCAAGACCTGTACCTCATCATCTAGAAGAAAAAATCAGAAAGAAACTAGATTACTTTGTCAAAGCCTGACTAATGACATGGACAAAGCTTTAGGTAATAGTGTTCATACCTCTGCTGATTTCAGATGATGGCAAACAAAGCTGTATAGAGGACTCGTACCGTATCAGGTTTGCCGATAGACGAACTATCAGCAACATTTCGAGATTCTAAATTGTTTTTACAACTCGATATGAATAATGGCTTTCATGAAATGAAAATTGACTGGGAATGAAAGAAATATGTGGTCAAGACAACGCCCTGGGGAAGTTTGAAGCACGAAACACTCGCCCAAGGGTTCATAACAAGTCAAGATGAATTCGATAAATCAAAGAAATTATAGTTGGAGGTACTGGAGTTAAAGCAATGGAGGCAATTTATTAATTGGTAGTATACAGATTGAAAAGAACACAATGAACCATGAACGACGTTCTGACTCAATTGAAAAACCATAGTTTCAAGTTGAAACTTCAGAAGTGCAAATCTGGAAAAAAAAGAAATAGAGATTTATGGTATCAGATTTATTGAAATAGGAACTAAATAATTGAAGGTAATAGTTTTAACTAAGACAGTGGAGAAAACCTACATTAAAAGGAAGAATCAGAAGTTTTCCAAAAGTAGTATGATATATTTCTCAATTTATTCTCAACTTTGTTCAGATTGCAATCATCAATTCATTTAAAACTTTGCTCCAATTTCAAATCCTCTGGTGAAGATAAAAGTGATCCAAAAGAACCTTTAACAAACACGAAAAAACTTTCCAGGGTCTTGCGCTTTTGGGAAAATCATCTGAACTTTTGGTTGTGGGAGGAACAGTTCTATACCAAGACAAGACGATTCCACATATGAATTGCTGACAAAGACTTGTTGAGAAAGCACAAAATATTGGACACTCAAGAGAGAGAGAGCTTTTTTAAGAAAAGATTTAGTTTACAGATTTACCGAAACCTGTAAAAAGATGGCGCAAAACTGCTCAAGTTTTAATGCAACGAACTAACACGAAAAACGCAATAACACGAAAAAGAATTTGTTCGCTCAAGCAAGTGAAATTTTGTCATCAACGGTGAAGATGAGAAAAAGAGAGATTTATGTAAAACCTAAAAAAGATGGAGAGGATTGCAAAACAAGAAGGAAAGAAGTATTGCACAATTATCGAAGGAAAGCTAAGCGCATATATCATGACACATCACATCCTGCCGTAGGAAAAAGTCCGTATGAGCTTATGTTTAGAAAAAAGATGCGAAAGGAAATACTGCCTGACATCCCTTGAAATTGTAAAACTGAAATTCACTCTAAATTCAGAGGAAACAAAGTAATGTAGTAATAATTAAAACTCGTTTTATATTTCTCGTATCTTTTAGGTTCGCTCACTTGAGTGGTAAGAACATTCGCTTTTATGGTTTGGTATGTATCTATAAGATTAGTTGCAAGCACAATGAAGTACAATAGGCAGAACCAATGTTAAATCTAAGCGTAGAATAGTCTTCATAGCTAATGTATGCTTACTAAATGGAAAACCCCGTTTATATGATATACTATTGGTTATGAGAGATTTCTGTTTGTTAACAATAAGTAAACATATATGATCACGCGCAATAAATATATAATGTGAATACAAGCGATTTTTAAACGGAAATCTCAAAAAGATTTCAAAAATTCCAGTTTAGCTAAAAAAAATAAATAAGAACCATTTTTTGTTCAAAACATGAATAAGTGTATTTAGCTAAATAATTTATAAAGACAGTAATATAATTGAGACGAAGTAATGTGCAATGATAAATTCTTATACGTAGATACTTACTTATAAATGTCAACAAATAAACATTTCCTTAAAAAACTATACGACGTTACATATAATATATTGTATAACTGTGACTTACAAGGGTGCCATGAAAATATTTATTATTCCTTGTGTATGTGCTGTTAAGAATGGTATAATTATGATATTGAGGTAAAACGACGAAACTTTTTGGAGACTTTGCATGGTCACACGATGGCCCATTTTGTTAAACGGCATTCTTGGATACTTTTATGTCCATTTCAAATGCCGGATTGTCTCGGCTGAAAGAATCTCGAGGCTGATATGACTTGGACGTATTATGTGTTTTTCCTATACAAAAAATAAGCATTTTATTCTCTTTCCAATAATTTATGCATCAATCCTTTCTTTTCTATGATTGTCACATGGAAACAATAACGAAAATGAGACTCGTTTAAAAAAAGTAATTTATTAATGGTTAATGCAAAAAAGTGCAGTCTCATGCATGCTGAAAATGTCAACCAACTGTGTCGGCACATTTTGTGTTTCGTAATCCTAACGCTGGGCAAAAAAAAGAGTGTTAAGACAGGTGTTCCTCGCGAGGGTTGCAATCCAGTACAGAAACAGCTACAAGCGAAATAGCACTCTGTAAACGGTTTCCACATGATCACAATAAAAAAATACAATGGAACTCAATTGAAAAAAATCATACATTATATGGTTGAGTAACAATCAAGTCAATAAATTGTGGAGTCCTCATTCAAATTCTTCTCGCGTTTTGACATTTAGTTTTCCATACCTTGCAAGGAAGTTGTAGAATATATACTTTGTGACTGCCACTCATTTTCCTCTCCATTCAAGTTGCTATTCTTTCTTGCCGATTTCAGATTGGTCGTTGAGCTTGAAAATATTCCCTGAGAAGTAGACGAGCCTGGGAAAGAAGTGAAAAACAATAAGTCAAAAAACTTACTAATGACGTACAACAGACAATAGTCAAAAGTAAATGAACAATTTTTACAACAATACCTTTGCGCAATCTTCTGGTATTTCCAGCACTTGAAGGGAAAGTGCTCTCAGTTCTATTTTTAACGAGTTCTCTCATCTAGAAAATTTATTTGAATCCTCTGACATGTTTATTACATACTTATAAATCAGTGTTATGATAATTCAAGTTTAACCTCTTTATTTAGAACGCAGTGGAAAAGAAAGATCAGCAATCCTTGAGTGGAATTAAGAATAGCGAAAAGATAACGGAAAATCATTGTCTCGTGATTGAACGTCATTAAACCAAAGACCCATGTCAACCCAAGAACAGGAAGCAAAACCATTGCAGCTTTAACTCCAGTCTTTACTTTCCGCATGTTATTTTGTTGTTGAACACTTTGAGAGTTGATCAATATGCGCATTACCATGATGAAAACGACCGTGTTAACCTGAAATATGATTATTATTAAATTACCAATTCGAATTACGTTCTTATAACAGCAGATTAAGATATAAAAACTTACCATGACAATAAGAATTGCAGGCACAATAAATGCCCAAATCAATTTATCTTCTAGCCAACAGAATGATTTATCACCGTAACCAACTCCTTTAGTAACACCATATGATATGGAAACAACAAGCAATGGAATTCCTAATTTAGACAAGCCGTATAGTAAATTTGGTAAATTTCTAAGTAGAAACAGGAAAAATTCCATACTTACCCCAGCCAATGAAACAGAAAATCTTCCAATATTTTCCATGAGCGTTATCAAATACTCGGATAAGCAATATGTAAAGAAGTATTCCTTCACACAACATCCACCCAAACACAGACAGTACAAAGAAGTGAAGACTAGCAGCAACCGCTTTACAGAAATTCTGTAATATAGACATATATTAATTTCTATGATTTGAAATTAATTAGATCTTTTACCCCTACCATCTTCAAAATCGAAATTTATAGAATATGGCGCGCTGTTTAAAAAGCAGGTTAGTTGGTATCGTGAAAATATAAATAAATTTGTATTCTTTAAGTACAATCAAGTTATTCTATCACACTGACATGCACTCACATATTGTGACAGAAAAATCGCACTCCCATTAAAAATAGGAAAGTTGTTTCTTTATTTATGTTAAATTTTAGTTAAACTGTTTTAAATCAAGCAGTCAGTGGAATGAAAATCATACCTTCTGCAAAAATGATGTAAATATGACGCCCCACACCGTGAATGTGACAAGTGACGGATACAGTGTACGTCAAAATAAATTATAGCTCTTCGATTTGAAAATCAAATAACATCCTGAAAAACTCTATTGGTTTTTAATTTCTAAAGAATATAAATTTACCAATGGATTTTTGTTTAAGGTTTTCAGAGATGTAAATATAAGCCAAAATGTTCTGCAGCAATTTATATTGACGTACTCTAAATCCACTACTGAGTGAGACTGTATGACTGAGCTTTTAGAATATGAGAATAAGTGTTATGTTGAACAATACAAATATATTATATGGAAAATACAAAAATTATAAATTTTTCAATGGAAAGACAAAAACATAGAAAATACTTTCAGATACTCTGCTTATTAATTCTAGATTTTAAGGATTGTCAGTCTCATTTTCAATATCATTTCTATTTAACAGTTTTCTCATGCAGTTATTATTTAAAATGTTTTATTTGAATGTTTTTTAAAACATTTGTTAATTTATTAGAACATTTTAGCTTTCCAAATCATGCAAAAGAGCCTACTATTTATAGGAGATTGATTTCATATATAAAAGGTGGAGTTTAGAATTAGTTGGAGCATTCCTGTGGAAATCATGATGATTAAAATGTAGCAAAAATATCATTTATTTAATTGCATCTTTTTTGACAGACAGTAAACAAAGAATTTGAAAGGGGAATGCTATGTCGTTGAGAAAACAAGGGAAAATATTTTTATGTAGCATATAAAGATGTTATAGAGTCAATTCTAAATGCAAGCATCAAAGATAATAAACTGATTAAGCTAAGAACAAACCGTTACTGAAAACTATCAATAGGCGACTTTACTTAACTATTCATTGGTCTTTCATTTAATTAAATTTTTTCACCTGCCTAGAACAAAACTCAAAAATTCGCGGCATGATGTAACATTTAAAATCGTATCGTTTAAATCTATTACTCGATTACAAATCGCAACATTTTTAAGGTAAAAATTGTGTAACCGAGAACAACTTTTGAGATAGCTTGAAGGCAAGAACAACACAATTAAAAATCAATTGAAACAAATAGGGTTAGATATAGGGCATGTTGTTTAAGGTAACATATTTTTAGGAAATTTACAGCCAATGCAAACACTTAGCTTTCAAATAGCGTATCACACCGGATTTTTGTTTCTTTAATACTATTTTTTAATAATCCTTATCGCTTGTGCATCAATGTAAGTCTAAATTAATGCAAACATGAACAGTTGATGAGTAATTGAGTTCTGGCTCTTTGAAAATGCATTAACCAAGCAAAAAGTAACAAGTCAGGCGATGCTGCTCTGATTTGATGAACGCTGAAAAAACTCATTAAAGTTTTTCGATAAAAATGAGAATCTGACCAGCCAAGAACAAAACGTTCTTGTGAGTTTTAAGGCAAAAGGAATTAAAAATTAAATTATTTTATCAATTTTGAAAATATCATAAGAAATACTTCCTTATAGCCACCGCTTTATTTTTGATACACAGAAGCAAACCCCTTCTCTATTACAGGTTATTTTAATAGAAATGAAAGAAATAACTTGATTAATCGGTTTCTGAAAAGTAAACACTTGCTATAAATCATGCATTAAGGAACTACAGAGCTTACCGAATTATCTCTTGCAACTCCTTCAAGAATAGCAAAGATGTCGGTGAAACTAATAGCCACACACAAATTAATGAGCACTTTAGATCGAAGGGACTTTACTTTCTTCCAGAAACAAATTTGCATTAGTATCGTTAAAATAACACCCATCAACGATATGGAACAACCGATTGTTGAGATAAGTTCAAGAACATTACTCTCTGTTTCCGTCGACTTTATGAAAAAAAAGATAAAT